GAAGATCATGGCAGGCAAAATGAAGCAGACCTGCAGATTCTGCAGGCAGGTGCGTACTTGGAGTTTTCTTCTCCTGTTTCATCCTTACCCAGCTAGTATTGGAGCATGATTGTGGATCTGTACAATGCAATGCTTTATACACTGGTTTAATTTGAAACCCAGTGGAGATGTAACTTGTGATGCTCACAGTCTTTCAGCCTTTAGGACAGGAGGCAGATGGCCCCTCACAAGGAGGAGTGTAAAAAGATGGCCAGAATTGCTACTATTTCATCTGGCCACCCAGGTCTTGGAAAGCCTTGTTTTAGCAAAGAGCTCTGGATGATGAGTATCTCCCCAAAGCTGTGTCACAGCTGCAGGAGCTCTGAAGTACAGAAGGACCCACAGATGCAGCTTTGTTCATAACCTGGCTTTCTCCAGGCACCTCTGTGCGGGGCACTTAACTGGCTGCATACACTGCAGAAAGTGCCAAAGCAGCCACCTTAGGAAAAGTTTCCTTCCTAGTCGCCATCAGTCTACATGCTTGTTCCTATGTGCATCTTCACTACTAAATTTAGGTGATAGTATTTGAATCTGCGGCTTTCTCTTTTCCTCTCCCGTCTTGTTAAAGGGTACATGGATGAGGGAGGCCCTCCTGTGGAAGTATGCAGCCACCTAGCAGAGTTAGAGTTTGTCTGCTTCAGAGCCCTGCCAAGGACTCTCGCTGAGGCAGTTTCACAAAGTTGAAATGAGAGGTAATTTATTAAAGCAACAGATATAATAGATTTGGGAATGACATTGATTTATACATTCACTGCAATAATATTAACATACCACAATAATGCTAGCAAAATGCTTTTCCAGGTATTCTTCACCAAAAGGTGAAGGCACAGTGCTTACCAAGAAGGCGTCCCTATCTTGGGTGGAGGAGAGGGAGCATAGCCCGTCAACTGCTTCTTCTGGGTCTTCAAACTCTTCTCTCCCCGCCCAGGGATATGTTCCCTTAATACTCTTTATAACCTAACCTTATCTATTCCCCTCTCCAGGAGTGATATTTAGCATGATTCATGTGGAGAGTCAAGTACTATAGTCATGTATGTTTAGCATGTACTTCACTAAACTCATTATCATACTCAGGGGTGTTAACTTTTATATTAATTTTGTAGATAATTAAGCAAAAGGTCTTAATCCAGGCACCGTGGCCTTCAGGATTCTGTGTTTAAGCCATTTATCTGCTTATGTCCACATTCTTTAGCCAAAACAGGACTGTCCTGGCACCACAAGACTCCCTTCTTTGGCTGCGTCTCCTCCACCCCCAATGCTTGCACAAGAGATAAGCAGACACTACCATTTTTAACCCCATATATTCAATTCTCACATCCCCTTACAAGCACAGGCACAAAACATCCCTCCCAAAGCAGTGTTAAGTAAGCAGTTAATAGAAGCAGTAGGTCAGTAATGGCATTGCAACTTCCAATTTTACAGTAACAGACATAAGATATGTTCACTTTACACTGCTTCTTTCCTAAATTAGGAGGTGAATTGGAACAGATTCCTTTTCAATCATTTCGTAAACAACCAGCAATGAGATTTAATTTAATTTAATTATCAGGTTCTCACTAACTCCTTCAGAGAATTTTCATGATAATCACTTGCACAAAGGCACAGGCCATGACTGACAGAGATGATGTGGCTGCCACCAGCTTACTATGAAGTCAAAATATTAGCCACCTGACCCACTGGCTCACTCAGAAAGAGGCGTTAGTTGCCCACATATCTAGTACAGCCAATTGAGAGAGCAATTAACTAGTGACTAGAGAGAATTATACTCCTCAGAAAGATAATCCACACAAAAGCCCTACACAAAGAGCTGGAAGCTGCTGTCTGGCTAACAAAAAAGCTGAGAAAGGGATATCTCCCTCTCCAGAGCTTAAATATCTTATTTGCAGCTGCATGTTTCATGCTCCTGTGCGACACAGAGCCATTTGTCAGAAGAAAGCACCAGTTCAGCACGAATTATTTTTAAAGTGAGGTGTGAGAGGGTCATGCTTACATCTATCTGAGCTTGAAGTCATTCAGGAGTGCACCCCTTATCTGCCAACAAAGTGTCTTGACTGAAGTAGTTGGATGTGTTGGTCTCTCATCCCTCTCCTGTGGGCTGGGTGACTGCTCAACTCTGTTTGAGAGGGAAAAATCAATGTGCATAGGGGCTCCATGGGCACCAGTGAGCCCTGTCCCAGGTGAGCACTGCCCTCCCTGTCCCCATTTAGGTGCCCACGCTGAGCTCAGTGCTGCCAACAGGGTGAAGGCAAGGCACCCCAGCAGGCATCGCTCCATGCCCCCACCCCAGGGTGGCTTCAGGAGCTAAGGTCACGCTTTGCACTGATTTGTAGGACAAAAAAATCCCAGGTTGTCCTGGGCTCTGTGGAGATCGGAGATGGTGTGTTTTCAGCATTGTCACCCTCAGCTTAGGAGTCTGGGACAGAAAAGTCCCTTTTCATCTCACCCTGGCAGTAATAACTTGGGTACAATTTATGCAGCAATAGTCTGCAACTATTTACTAATATTTGCATAAACCAGCAACAAAAAATGCCTTTTCTGTAGTTTGGGATCCATGGAACATTAAAACATGTAAAATCAACTTTTACAATCAAACTTGCTGCACGATTTCCTCCAACAGTTTCGTAATGTGCCTATGCTCAACTGTCTTCTTTTCTAAGTATTAGGTATAAAGTTTGTCTGCACTTATTCCTTTCACCGAGGGCACAGGTTTTCTTGGTTGCTAGACCAAGACCATAGTTTTTTAAAAACGGAGAAAAGTAGTTTCCTGGAGTCACCACGTAATTTTTCAGTACACCGCGAGAGGGCAGCCTGTGCTCTCTATACAGACAGATTTTTACAAGCAACTGTTAGGACCGGTCACAATTATAAAGCCCTAGTTCCTTAAAGCCCAGTGAGCGGAAAAAGTAACACAACAGATCTTTGACGTGACTATTTTCTGTGTGTATAGTATCAATCTAATTCCCTCATTGTTTTTCTTCTGGAAGGGAAAATACCTTTCCACTTGATTTGCAAATGAGAATAGAGAAATTCTCTCTTGCTTTACCCACCGGCTCCTAGGCAAAATCAGCTCTAACAAATTAGCTGCTATGCTACATTTTTTTAGATTTCATCTCTCTCTCCTTACTTGCCTACAACTGGGGCTGCTTGCAAAGTAAACACTTGGGACAGCAGCATCTAAACCTCCAAGGTGGTGAAGCGAGTTAGTTTCATGCTATGCACTGTGAGCCCAAGGGAAAACCTGATTCACCCTTGGAAGCAGCAGCCTAGCCTGTCTCCTGAACTTTGGTATTCATATCACACGAGGGACAAAAAGGTGCCAATCTCCATCCAATAACATCTCTCTAAATCAGTATTTAGCAGGAACTGGTGCATGTTCTGTGTTGTTCAGCCTGGAGAAGAGAGGGGAGACCTTATTGTGGCCTGTCAGTATTTGAGGGGGAGCCTATAAGAAAGATGGGGACAAACTTTTTAGCAAGGTCTGTTGCAATAGGACAAGAAGAAACAGTTTTAAACTAGAAGAGGGTATATTTACACTAGATATAAGGAAGAAGTATTTTGCAATGAGGGTGGTGAAACACTGGAACAGGTTGCCCAGAGAGGTGGCATATGCCCCATCCCTGGAAATGTTAACATCAGGTTGGACGGGATTCTGAGCAACCTGATCTTATTGAAGATGTCCCTGCTCATTGCAGGGGAGGGTTGAACTAGATGACCTCTAGAGGTCCCTTCCAATCCAAACTATTCTATGTGAAGACTCAGTCTTGTAGTGCTAGAAAGTTGCTGCCATCTACGCCTTGAGAAGGGCATGTGGAGACCTCGGACCTGTCTAGAAACTGACACTGGTACTGATCTGGATCCAACTAATGTGACACACGCCCAAGACAAGTCTCTGGAGACCTCATCTGATGTCCTCCGCACCAGAGGAGGATGTTACCAGCACACTGGTAACATGGCAAAAAAACGCCAAAAAGCAATCTGAATTGGGAGCTAGGGTACTGGGCTGAGAGGCTGTACAAAAAGTCCTCAAAGCAGTAACATCTTGGGCATGAGCCAAGAACAAGTGTGCTGGAACCACCTGAAGGCATCACAGAGCAGCAGAAACAGCAGGAGATCTGTGCACCTGACACAGCAAGGACTGTCCAAGTGTGTCATGAGCAGTTCAGAACTCTTCTTTGCCCCAAAAGTTTGCATTTTAGAGGTAAGTTTTGTGAGCTACACACATTCAAAGGTGAATATATGTGAACACCTACTGAGATCTTCTTTCTAGTCTACATGGTTAGTGTTGAGCATGCCTAGAAGAACTATGAGAAAGCACTACTAACTGCATTTATTTTTATTCAAGGCTACAAAAGGGGCTTTTCTAAGACTCAGGACCTTACAAAATGCAAAATCTGAGCACTCCATTAACGTAACATATTATGCACCAAATCTGACATGATCCATTCAGGATTTTATTTGCTGTGTAAAAACTCTCACTCAAGATAACATAGGAGAGCCACCCAAATATGATCCAAATCTATGTCTAAATAAAGAAATATATAAGGTATGTATAAAGGAATGCTTAAAATGGGGTCTAAGGATTTCCACATCCAAACATGATCCCTACCTGCAGACCTAGGTAATGAGAGCTATCTCAGTCTTGAGTACTGAGTCCCAGACTTTGGAAATTTATGTCTAAATTCATGCAATAGTGCAGCAGAGCCAAAACAGAGAAGGAGGAGCATCTTTTTCAGCTTCTTTCACAGGTCTCTAACACAAGAAGTAAAACACAAGTGTCAGGGAACTCCTGCTCTTAAATTTTAGAGGAACTTAAGTTTGGAGTTTTACCTACTGCCAACATCGGCTTGATTGGCAATAACATATGGAATTGATCATGCTTCTGAAATAAACTGTTGGCAGGGGGTTCCTATAGTACTTAGTCAAACAGCATGAAACATTTTTAACCTTAAAAAAAGAAACTACATTATTCAGAGTATTTATTGATAACTGTAAAATGTTAGTCAAATATATATGTAAAGTTAATAACTTTGAGCATATCTCTGAGCTGCTAAATGAAATCAAAACCACACAGAGGTGAAAAATTACCTTTGTTATTCACATTGGTTTTCTTCTATTTAGATTGTTAGTTTTGTCGATCTAAATCTATAGAGGATGACTTACAAATGTCACAAGTTCCAGACACTGTTTGGTAATGAGAAAAATCTGGCCCACCTTGGGCCTTGCACATATGTACCCAGAGACTTCATGTACTACAATTCACAAGATAACAGGGAAACCTGAATGAGAACATGGTAGTCAGCTGCCGAAGGAGTGTGTGATAAATTGGCAGCTAAGATCTCAATAAGGCAATCAAGGTCACTTCCTACAAGAACAAGCATAGAAACAAAGCAAGGGCACTAGGCCTCTTGCATATACTTTTTTGGGCTGAAGCTCACGTTCATCAGTGGCTCAAAACCTCTTCTCTGCCTTCGGTGCTGGAAAAGTACAAGCAGCAGAACAAGCGTGGCCAGAGCTACAAGTGCTCCTCCAATTGTGGATCCAACCATGACAGCCCACGCTTGGTTTTCTCCAAGGGAACCTGGAAATACGAAAAGTCTGAAGTGAGGACAGCCCTTAATTTCATTTTTCAAACCACATGGAAGAAAGAATATGTCCCACAGTCTGGTAATTATGATAACTTGTGTGGCTTAGTGATGCCCTGCCCTCAGGGGAAGCTGGTAATGCACCGTGTAACGACACATATACCAGAGCCATAGAGGCTTCCTGCCAGAGAATTCTACAGTTGAATTTAAATTTCAGCCTTTCATATAAATTAAAGTGTTGAAAACAGGGAAGATTAATGGTGACAACACAAAAAGACCATTGTCTTATCTAATTTGGCCAAAATTATGAATGATTTAAGTGATTCTTTCTATAATGACATTTCAGCATAGTTTTTTTCCAAGCTATTTTGGTCAACAGAAAACCCTCAGATTTTCCTGTAGACCACAAAGCAGATTATTGTCTAACTTCTGACTGAAAACACTACTTAATGTGGTTCTGCTGACTGGCTCTAGATTGCATCCTCTGATTTGGAACCACTTCTGAAGAACCACTGTCTTCTAAGAAAATATTGTCCATTCTTATAATAACACTGCTCCATGTGGCTTAATTTTGAGTTTTCACTTACACTTTCAGAAGCAAAAATGGCCTCCTCTCCTGTTCTGAAAAACACTACATATACTGAGATGGCAATAATTATATTTGACTAAATATTCACAGAAAAAAAAAAAAAAGCCTCCCAGAAGGACTTAAGGTATTTAGAAGTTAGATAGACATATGCCCTTAAGGAGACAGATGGCTCAGGGAGTTGTCACAGTGACTATAAAAGCAACTAGTGCCCCATTCTGCAGCCTCTGTCAACAAAAGTCTTGAGGGCGATCATGCCCAAATTCAGCAAGGTCCCAAAATGAATTTTTTACCACTTTACCATCTTTCAAGTAAGAGCCAGCAATGTACTAAAGTATGTTGATTTCTAATGTGGTTACATAAAGTAGAATTAACGAGTTGCATATTTAGATAAAAGAGAAGGGTTTAGATGCAAAAACTTCATTGTCTGAGCACAGATCATGCAGGTATGCTGCTTCACAGAGAGTTAACTATTTAGGTGGGAGTTGAGAAGCAGCAGAATCACAAACTGCTTTTGTTCCCCTCTGGGTACCTCATGCCTAAGGGGCAGCAGCATTTCCAAAGCAGAAGAGAGGACAGCAGTCCAAAGGAAGGAAAAACACTCCATAAAAGGAGAAGTTTAAATTTGTGGGGGAAATTCTGGGGACACTCCTGAAAAAAGCACTGCAGAAGCAGCTATCATGCCCCCACAAATCAGGGCTCGCCTGCATGAATGCAACCCGAGGACAAGGGCTTCAATCTTTTGCAGTCTACAGGCCTCCAAACAGTCTCCACAGATTAAAACCACAGATATATGGTAAGCATTTAGAAGAAATTCCTGGCCACAGAGGTTAGATAAGCACCTACTGCCTCTCAAAGGAATACAGAGCTGGAGAAAGAAACTGCTCAGATTTAATATTTGGTAAAGCAGCTGAAAAATGGTTTTCACACATTTCTTACACTTGTCCATTTTACAAATATTTGTAACTCATGTTGCAAATTTGGGATTTTGTGCACAAATACTTTGCTTTCTTGATTTTTGTCTTTATCTGATTTGCGTCAAAGGTAATTTCAAAAAAATAGGCAAACCCTAAGGCACATCACACCTGTGGGTATATAAAACCTTTAAAATTGGGGTCTTACAAGACACTCATGTCTCGAGAGTATCCAAAGACTAATAGAGTTCATCTCTAATGAGATTCATAGTGCAATGTTACTGAGGACCATATGCAAAACAAGTGTTTTCTAGTGACCTGTGTCAGCCAGACAAGCTCCCTGGCAGTGTGCCTGGCCTCCAACAGGTTAAAGGGTCCTGTAACAAGCATAAACAGTGCTGGGAGCAGAAGGCAAAATGAAACACTCCTCATGTCCAAAGGAGCACTGTTTTCAACGCTGGAGCAGTTCAAGCTGACACGTTTTGCAGCAGAGGAAAATAAGTATGTGCACACTTGTTACCATAGCTTACATGATGAGTTTTAACTACGTGTGCGTGCCACAATCAGTGATTGCTAGCGAACAGGTGAATAGACCCACGCATTTTGTGAAAAGTGCCTTATTTTATGTGCCTGTGTTGTTGAAAATGTGACCTGTCTCATCACTCGGCCAGGAACAGCCTCCACACCTCTGATATGTACCTGGCAGGTCAATGGCGTAGGTGTAGCCGAGCTGCTCCGCGGTTTGGAAGAGCTCATCGTTGGTCACAGGAGGAAAAAAGGGGACCATGTTATACAGCCTGTTGTGACCGATGGGGGCCAGCTCCTCAGGCCAGGCATTGTCAGGGGGGTTAAACCGCTTCATCCACTCGTCAAAGATGGCATCAGTGAAGGAGTGAAGAACCTGAAAATGCAGGCATGGGTATGCACATTTATTAAACTCTTTCAGAACTCAGCAGCATATAAAACACTCTAACCTAAGTTGGCAGCAACTTTTGAAAGAGAGAGAAGAGGGCATTCTAATTTAAGTGGGATTTACAGAATGGGAAACCAGGAAAGCTCATGAGAATGGGGTAAATTGATCTCCTGCACGGGACATTTTTCTGTATGCAGCCTTGTTGCTGCTTGTTCATAATAAGCTCTTTACCCAGAAGATTTAATACCAGCTGGCAGTGAATGGGCAGGTCCCTCCTCTCAGGTGAGGGCCCACTGACATCATTCAAGCAAATGTACCTTTCAAATGCATTTTAATCTCTCTGGTCTCTGAACAGGTATGGAAAATTGCAGGGAATTTGATTCCGTCATGCCCATTTTAGAGTGTGTCACAAGCTCCACAGCTCCAGGCACCCATGAATTTGACCAGGTCTTGCCCAGTGAGTTTATAGGTCTATAAAGAACTAACACAGTTGTTTCAGACAACTATTACAAACGTCTGGGACAATTCAAACTAATTTCTGATGTATTCATGTATTTTAATTACAACCCTGGAAAAAAAATTAAAAATATCCTATAGAAAATAAAAAACGACAGCATAGTGAAGTGAAGATTTCATTGTGTAAGAAAGAAATTCATGTAGGAATTCAATAATTATTAAAGTACTAAGTTGGAGAATCACTACATAAGTATTTGGACTAATTTCTCCAAGAAAAGATTGCAAACTTAAAATAAAGATAAGAAAGAAAATAACCATATTTGAATTTTTCTGTATAATGGCTGTGGTTTAATCTAAAAAAGAAGAAAAGTAATTGGCGTGAACTTATTAGGAGACAAAGGTATGTAAGTAGAGTCAACTGCTGGCTTTTTTTTGCACCTTGCTGTTTGTGCTGCTCATTCCAGCACAGCACTGTACCAACACACTAGTGAAATCACATTATTTCTTTTTCCCAAGTGACTCTGAAATTAGATGTGCTTCTTTTTAGCCTGTGAATTTCAAAACAAAGAAACAAACTACTCAGTTTACTGCTCTAAAATAGCTAGCCCCACTTTCACTATATCTTGTTGCTGTAAAATTGTCTGGTATAAGCCACTAAATTTAGATACCATCTAATGAAAGGATTCAGGGCAACATAACCTGGAACAGCAGCTCTCCCTAGATAGTTATGTTATGTTTTACAAATCACCCTGAGATTTCTTCCTGTTTTATTTGACCGCTATCCAGGCACAGCAGCGTTCAAGAGAAGATAAAAGATTTCTCCTTTTCTATTTAAAGGACTTATTTTTAGGGAATCGACGTTACTTGTTCTGCAAATCTCTGTTGAAGTAGCTGCCTTTGAGCCACAGCCACTGTCCCTCATGCTGGGGAAAAAGACATACCACAAAGATGGGATCGTTGGCAGCTGCATGAGGGAGAACGCTGGTCCCGTTCAGGAATGAGTGAGCCAAGTTGTGAAGGCTCAGCATCGGCGAGCTAAGGGCTCCACCAGGTTTATTGAAGCCCTCCAGTGCATTCCTGTGGGTGGGTAGAAGCAGCATCAAGTAACCATATTTTCCTGACCAATGCCCACGTAAAGAAAACCGGTGAGCCAGACAGCTCTGCAGGAACCGAAGGACAAACCTGAAACTGAAGCTGGAATTGCGGAAAAAGGGAGGGCTGTCGAACTCCTGCAGGGAAAGGCACCTCCTGACGTCCTCCACGGTGGGCAGCTGCTCGCCAGAGCCCTCAGGCGGCCTCCGTCGCAGCGGCCCTTCGTTACTCCCATTGCACAGTGTGACCAGGCGGTTGTAGTCATCCAAGCTGAGCATGAAACAAAAAGAGGCACAAGTCTGAAGAAGGCGATGACTTGCTGGCTTTTTCTCACCTCATATAAAAGAGGCCTCAGCTATACACATGAGAGAGCACGGGTTAGGGACAGACGTGTTCTGGGGCATCTCGGTTCACTTCCCACAGCCTCGGAGTTGAATTTGTTGCAGGACTGCCAACGTGCCACAGCATTCTGTGGCTCTGCATCCTCTGTGGGCTATCAGTCATTCGGACCAAGAGTTACCAGCTTCATTGTCCACTGTAGTGGTCTGACCCTGGCCGGCGGTGAGGTACCCTCACAGCTGCTCTATCACCTCCTCTTCTCTGCCAGACAGGGGGAGAAAAAAACATCGAAGGGCCCACGGTTTGAGATAAGGACAGAGAGATCACCTGCATCTACTGTCCCGGGCAAAACAGTCTCGATTTGGGGGAAATTAGTTAGATTTATTAAAGAACAAATCAGAGAAGAGTAGTGAGAGATAAAAACAAATCTTAAAAACAATAATAACACCTTCTCCCCATTCCCCTCTTCCTCCCAGGCAAAACATCAATCCCAGTTTAACCATCTCCTCCCCTCAAGCAGTGCAGAGGGACAGGGAATGGGGGTTACGGTCAGTTCATCCAATGTCATTTCCACCACTGCTTCTTCCTCCGGGGAGGACTCCTCACTCTTCCCTTGGGCCACTGTGGCGTCCCACTCACAGGAGACCACCTTCACACACCTTTCTCCAACGTGAGTCCTCTCACGAGGGGCAATTCATCACAAACTGCCCAACACGAGTCCTCTCATGAGGGAAAAGGCACCCCAATGTGAGTCTGGGGTGCAGTGCTTCAGGGGGAAACTGCTCCAGTGTGAGTCCCCCGTGGCGTCACAAAAGTCCTGCCAGCCAACCTGCTCCAGCGTGGGCTTCTCCCTCTCCATGAGCTACAGGCTCTGGCAGCAACCTGCTCCAGCGTGGGCTTCCCATGGGGTCACAGCTCCCTTCAGGCATGGGGCAGCCACTCCAGCATGGGACATCTACACCTTGTCACCTCCGACAGCCTGCCTCACCATGGTCTTCACCATGGCCTTGGGGACTCTCCGCTCCAGCGCCTGGAGCATATCTTCCCCCCCTTCTTCAATGACCATGGCGTCTTCACATATTCTGACTCCTTTGTCTCTCTGCCAGTTGTTATGTGGCACAGTTCTTTTTGCCCCATTTCTTAAATATGTTTTCACAGAGGCGTTCCTCTCCTATCACCACTGATAGGCTCAGCCTTGGCCAGCAGCAGGTCTGTCTTTGGAGCTGGCTGGCATTGGTTCTAACAGACTTACAGGAAGCTTCTAGAAGCTTCTTGCAGAAGGCACCCCTACAGCCCTCCCTCACCACTGAAATCCAGCAAGGTAAACTAAATACATCCACAAAGAGAGGATGCTTTAGAAAAAGCAAGCACAATTCCCTTCATGCCTTCTCCCTTTCCAAGGGCTTTGGAAGAACAGTTTTTGCCAGACAATCTAAAACAGTCTTCTGAATTCTGAATTGGCAAGCTCTCAGTTCTGAGTAAGGACTAGTTTTTTAACTCTTAACAAAGAGTTAAAACCAAAAAACAATCTGGAAATTCCCACTGTGGGGTGGACTAGGAAAATGTGAGGAATGACAGAAAATAGTGTTCCACTTTCCATCCCTTATCCTCTTTAGCAGAAAAGCAACTTCAGTGCATACATCTTCTATTTCAGGGCCCGGAGGACATCCTGCTGTTGCACAGGTTGGCTCCTAGCTAATGGGGAGTAAGTCCTTTATACTAGGGAGAGAAAGAAAGAAGGAGGGGGAGAAAACCAGTGTAACACTTGTGAAAAAAGTCTGTGCTATTCAATATGAAATGAAACAGCATTTTCAGAAACTCCTGAAGTAAACAAAAGCCCTTCTTTGCTTAATCTTGCCAAGGCAAAAGTTCAGTCACTTCAGTTTTCAAGAAAAAAACAAAGCCCTATTTATCTTAGAGAAAAAGTCGGGGCAAGATTTAAAGCCAACTGGTGCCTAAAGCTAGAATTTCAAGTAGCTCTTTAGATACCCTTTTTTTGAAAAGCCCTGAGCCGACGGTACCTCCCTCTGACTGACTGCATGCTGCACCAGGGCTGACAGAAGAATGGTACATGGGTATTGAAACTAGCAGCAACTTATGTCATAGCATCCCAGTCCTGCACGTGAATCCCCCATCAAAGCCCTGCTCTCACACAAATCCATATATGCCTACAGAGATCTGGCAGGAAGCTCCTCGCTGTCTCTGCGCTGTTTTCCATGTGAAATCTCAGCCACTTCGAATTCAGTCTCCAAACTGCACTAAAGTTAAGGTCTTGCCCAATACAAGGGAACAGATTTTTCAGCCTACCTCTAGCTTCCTATATGCCAAAACAGTTTTCTGTTTCTGCTGCCAATATCAGCTGGGTGTTTGTTACAGCGAACAACACATAGGCATTTCTTCTTTAAAAAGATACCTGCTAATGTGCAAAATTTTCAGACTTTTGGCAGCCTCAAATAGGCTGAATCGACTAAAATTCTGTACCAGAAGAAACATAGTTATGCTTCCATGATACCAGGAAGGAAAGTTTACAGAGCACCATCTATACACAGACCAACCGTGATTCCCAGTTTTAAAAAAGCCGTCTTGGCTCTTCCCCTGCCACTCAGAGAGCAGCCCACAACATCAATACAGAATGAAAGCAAAGTTTGTGCAGTACGTCAGCTAGATATTCTTGTACCTGTTACAAACTATTTGCCACCGGGAGAACCTGGAGCTTGGGCTGATCAGCCCTGGGTCATTCGGCCACGATGCTCCAAAGAGCTGGTCCGTGCAGACATCACACTCGTTCCTACCCGTGGCAAAGTTCCAGTAGGGCAGCGCGAAGGAGTCATTGCCCGTCAGTCGCTGCAATGGACAGAAACACGTTAGCAGGGAATCACCTTCAAAGGGAAGAGGAAGAAAAGGACTCCTGCAAGTTGTTTCACTGGATATTTCATTGGATATTCTGCTGTTCCAACTCCTTTCAAAAGATTGGGGCGTTAAGTCAGCCTAAGCAAAGACATTGTCACTAACTTCTCCACTGTTGCCCTGCACTTCTTTTGGCATTGTTAGGCTTTCTGCCAACTCAGAGACTGGTCAGGAAAGCAGGAACAGAAATGAATCAAGTCTTAAGCAACTAAGAGGCTAATGTAAGTGGGTAATGGGTAAAACTGTGCATGTGGTTTGCTTTCGCTCCAGAAAGGATAGCCCCAGGGAAGAATGTGAACTTGTATTAAGAGAGGGATACAGTGCACCTTCTTGTGTTTGTTTGTTAGACACTATTTCACGCAAGCAAGATCCTGCAGCTGTTTTGATATCAACCATTTTCATTAAAGATCTGCAAGGTTAAAATACAGTAACGTTGCCAACGTAGAAGTAACGCAAATGGAAATGAGTCAATGCGTCAGCAGTTGACTGACAGACATGCTAACATACATTTCCTTAAAAGATGAATTGCTTAATATACGCATGTATTAAAAACATAGCATGGCACATTTAAGGGGGACAATATTTAGTGTTGTTTTTGTTAGGAGGGTATCTTCAATATCAACAGACAATATCAGTTACCAAGTTTTACATGTAGATGTTGCTTTTATTTTATAAATAGATACTGTTAATTCACATCTGTCCTTCTGCTGTGGAGATGAAGAGAAAAATCTCCATGATAACCTTCACATCATTGTTCATAGTGAGAAACTGTTCAGACCTCAGTATCAACTTGAAAGTACTAATTTTACTTCAAAGAAAACAGGATCAGTGAGCAAACACCCCTGGGAGTTTGGGTAAGAATCTATCTTAGGAAATAGCTTACCCTTGGCTGGTTCAACAAAGTCACGTAGCAAAAGAGAGAAGCTGCATGAGGAAAGGGAAAGGCTGTTCAGCTAACCTGCAGGTCTCTCTCCAGCAACAGCAAATGGTACCTATGCCAAGTAACAAAGGCAGGTCCTTGATGGGAGAAATCGATACCTGTGAAGGGGCGGCCAGGTCCTACAAAGGGAGGATAAAATAAGCACTTAGGCACCAAATGAGGCTCGACAGAAAGACAGCACATTCTCCCATTGCCTGGAGTGAAACTAAACAAAAACCTGCAGCTCTGCACCTTTGGAAGGAGTGCATGTATCAGAAGCTACAACACTTACAGTGGGACAAGTAAAACAAACTCTTCTGTGGATATTCATTTCTGTGCTTCTCAAACCCTCACACTCCCCCAAAAGTCAGATATTGTGGAGATTTCTTATCACTTTAGTGGATTTTGCTTTTAAGAAGCAGTCTTATTGTCTAAAATCTTAGCTCCTTGCTAATCTCATTCTCTTGCTCAATGGCAAGATTTACACAGTCTATCTATCAAGAGAACCTCAGCATTTTCCATAACCTGGCAACAGTAATTTAAGATATTTTGCCAATTTTCTTCAAATCATGGGTGTTATTTCTTATATTGTGCTCTTGTTACTAGATGTGAGAACTGAGAAACTCAAAGGCTAGGGGATTCAAACTGCACTGGAATGTGATCATCACTGAAACAGGCTTCAACCCATATATGAATATATCTATCATTGGAGCAGCACTGTTGTCTCTTTGCATATGATCATCCTGTCCCCCAAAGGACCTTTGCTCTTGCTAGGCCACGGACTGCTTCCTTCAGCCCTGCAAAATGGAACCATGTCAGAAGGAGAGACGGAAGAAAACACACTGTTGTGTAACAGATGCCCTCTAGCAATGAAGCAGATATGGGCTGTTCAGCTTGCACATGGCAGAAAAGCCATAGTGCTGCCTCCTCCTGTGGGAGTTGGGCTTTGTGAAATGGAGTTGGCATGGGTATTTCTGTCTAGATGAGCAACGAAGAGAACAAATCCTGATATGGGAGAAAGCACGGCGTTAGATACCCAAACCTCTAACGTAGTTTGGTTTTAAAAGCTGACTATGGTTAGTCAGGCAAATGCCGTCCTTAGTGTCTCGATGAAGGCCACAGAAAGCAGTAGCACTTTGGTTTCCAACACCTCTGCATAGTCTCTGCCTTCACCACTGCATCGCCCCTTTCCCACTGCTGCTGCATGTACCTTGCCCTATGGTCTAGGAATCACAGAATGGCCTAGTCTGGAAGGGACCTTAGAGATCATCTAGTCCAACCTCCCTGTCATGGGCAGGGACGCCTCTCAACTAGATCAGGCTACTCAAGGCTCTGCCCAACTCGGCCTTGAACACCTCCAGGGAGGGGGAAGTCACAACGTCTCTGGGCAATTTATTCCAAAGTCTTGCCGACCTCATACTGAAGAATTTCTTCCTAAGATCCAGTCTAAACCTATTCTCCTTCAACGTAAACCCATTTCCCCTTGTCCTATCAGTGGACATTCTTGTAAGAAGTCCCTCCCCAGCCTTCCTGTTGGTTCCCTTCAGGTATTGGAAGGTAGCTACTAGGTCGCCCCGAAGTCTTCTCTTTTCCAGACTGAACAGTCTCAGCTCCCGCAACCTGTCCTCCTAGCAGAGGTGCTTGAGCCCCTGGATCATCTTTGTGGCCCTCCTCTGAACACGCTTCAACACATCTATGCCCTTCTTATGGTGGGGACACCAGAACTGAACATCTTTTTAAAGTCACTGTCTGACCACACTTTAGTTAACCCAACAGTGGAGCCTGTGAACTGCCTCCCTAACAGACAGAAAATGCATCAGGAATGTGGCTGGTATGCTCCAGCCACCACAGGGTGTTTGGTGGCAGGGACTAGACTGCAGTAGGCCTGAAGCACACCTCTTTCAACTGCAGGTAGCCACCAGCTTCTCATCACCAATTGTTTTGCTCTACTGGGACACACTGCCTAATTAAGCCTTGTATATTGCACCAGTTTCAGTACCTGGACCATGAGCTTCTGGAAAGCAGCTCATGCTCAAAGAAAGCAACGCAGCTCTGCTAAGCACATTTACTTTTGTTTAGCAATGATACTTTCCACCCTTTCCTTTACCTGCAGAGCCTGTTGGATAAGAAAAGCACTTACCTAATAGCGTGTCTCTGACTGAGTAGTAATGAAGCCAAACAAAATAGTTATAAATACTACAGTTGGCTATTTGTGGTTTGTCTCCAGTGGGACCAAGCAGACTTCTCCAGTGCTGAGTTGCAATTACGTAGTCTGGGTGAATGGTTGTCTTTGCACGGTCTAGAGCATCAAAGAACTGCTTCCTCTCCTCTGCCGTCAGGGAGTGAACATCCTTTCTAACAACTGGTGGCTTCCTCACGTTGCAGTTGGGGCCAGTCCAGCCAAACTTGCAGTCACCACAGTTATAACCAGCAAAGTTTCCTGAATCAAGAGATGAAAGAGTAGTCATGACATTATGAATCAGGGAAAACTAACAGTGAAACATAGAAGAATGAAGAATTAGCATTCTTTATCACCCAGAGATGCCGGTTCCTAGAAGCAACAGCAGCTGAGCAGACTGGCAGCTTTGGCAATTGCCTAAGCAGAAGGATGGCTCACTTCCCAGAGTCACGCAGGGCCAAGAATCACACTCTGCGGGTTGGGGAGATGAAGCACTAGGTAACGGGCTTGATGCCCCAAGGTGCTCAGAGCTCAGTGAAACCCTCAGGTACACAAGGAGCCTCACAGAACAGAGGGCTGAGCACTTCATGTTGAGCACACAACGAAGCGCTTTGCTCGATTGGCTCTCAAGTACTCCCAGACTTCCAGGATCAAAGCCAAAAAAGTGTTGGCTCATGTGGATCCTGAAGCACAGAAAAAAAATATCCCCAAACAAAACAGTTCTCTTAAGGACAAAACTCAGGGAAAACTAACACCTGTTAGCAGTGTATCTGGAACCCAACACAATCCAGCACAAGGGCTGCTGCAGGTCACGCTTTAAGCATTATTCAACAATGCTGCAAAAAGAGCCTGAGAAACCCCACAGTACCCTCGCTTCCCACTGGCATTGTTCCTAAGGCAAGTAAATCTGTCTCGCTCTAGGCTATTAACTCAGATCCTCTAATGGGCTGGAAAAGCCCAGGAAAGCAGAGCTTGCTTTAAGTGGGGCCTCTCGCCCACCATGGCAGACCGCCAGCAGCAGCAGAAAGGCCCTCCTGCAGCTTGCTTTGCCTTTGCTGGGGGAGAGACAGGGGCCAACTGACCCTTCCTGCAGCGGACATCGCCACTAGCTTCTCCAGAATCTGCACTGAGACTCCCTAACCCCAACCTCCTTCCAACCCCACGTACGTGCTCACTCCACAAGAAGTGTATTCCAAAATACCACAAAATTGCACTGTTCCCACATGTGCTGGTGCTGCTAGACCTGGGACGGGCTCTGGGCTAACACGGACATGGGGAAGTGGCTTATGAAGTGTTCCTGGATGGGCAGACATCCCTAGGCTATAGGGTTGTGTCTATGAGCAGAACAACAACACTAAAGATTTCAGATTGTCAGGGGCTGCAGCGGTTATCACCAACTTCAAAGACCCCCAAGGTTACAAGGTTACCAAGAAGATTGCGTGGCATATGGCTGGCCCTAGGATAAGGGCTGCTGAGCTCTAAACGTTTTTGACAGACTCCTGTGAGACCTACTAAGAGGGCACAAGGACTCTTAACTGTGGGTTTGAAGAGCTTATGATTATTTCAGGGGCTCTGAGATCTGTAGGTTTACACGCTATCATGAGCTTAGGGGCAGTGCTAAGGTTAGAGACCATAAGCATGAAGACTTCAACTAGGTCTTGGATTGTGCATAGCCTGATTGCACACCATGAGGACAATTTCCAAGTGTTTGGTCTCAGTGCAGGTAGGAGCAGCTGCCACGTTCCAGCTAGGACAGAAGGCACCCAAAGCCAGAGGTCTGCATTGGTTTAGGGGAATAAAGACGTATGGCAGAAAAAGCAGGCAGTTTATAGTTTTATGAAAGAAAGAAGACTGCGTGGATGTGTTATAAGGATGAGGGCAGAGATTAAGATGGGGGAGGAAGGGAGTGACATGGACGGCTGATTTTATCATGATATCCTGAGAGTTCCAGCAGAAGAGCACAACTGCTGTTGTGAATTTGGAGGACTCCACTATCTCTATATTTGCTCATTCTTGGCAAGTCAGCCTAGCTATTAGGGCTTGTCATAGACTCCAACCTATACTGACCAGATGACAAATTTCAGGAATATTTTGCAACATTGCCTAATTATGCCACATATACCACACAAGTTTCAGTACATGGACCGTGAACTTCTGGAAAGCAGCCCAAAGAATCATAGAATCATAGAATGGCCTA